GAGCACCCAAAACAGCTCACATCGTTCTCCTTTCTTCCATTTTGTCCTCACAACAACCCTGTGAGGTTGGTTAGGCTGAGAGTGTTGTTCCTAATGACTTTCTTGTAAAGCAAAATTCGGAACAGTGTCCCCTGCCATTCACATATGAATCCCAAGCATCCTCTTATTTAAAAGCTTACTATTTACATTATGTCCTATGGGAAATATTTGATTGTATAAAGTAATTCATTATATTCGTTGTGTGATTAGTATGTTTCTCATCTTCTAGTTGGTTATTGTGCTTGCAGAAGTCCTTTAAAATAATTCTTTGGAAGCATCCTGTGCTAGACAGTCTGTGGCTTTCAAGCAGGCTGAGGCATGCCTGTAAGTAGCTTACATGTACATCACCTGAAGTATAAGTGCACAGGAAATAAGTCCCTTGTTCAAAACTCTGGAGCCAGCTGTGTTGCCTTCTATTCTGATAATGTACATAGTGGTCTAACAAGAGCTCATCTGCCTGCACATCATCTAATATACCACCTGCCGACAATGCTTTTTTACTATTTACTAAGGCTAAAGGGCTGCGGTGGCTCAGAGGTTAAGACGCTGAGCTGCAGACTGGAAGGTCTGTAGTTTGGCAGTTCGAGACCTGAGTACTGCGTCACGGAGTGAGCTCCCGTCTCTGGCCCCAGCTCCTGCCAACCTAGCAGTTCGAAAGCAAGAAATTGCAAGTAGATAAATAATAGGTACCACTTCAGTGGGAAGGTAACAGCGTTCCGTGTGCCTCGACATTTAGTCATGCTGGCCACATGACCACTGAAATGTCTTTGGACAACGCTGGCTCGTCGCCTTGGAAACGGAGATGAGCACCGCCCCCTAGAGTTGGATTCGACTGGCTTTCGAGCAAGGGAAACCTTTACCTAAGGCTAAAAAAGTATTTTGACAAGATGATGAACATTTAAATAATCCAGTCATGGAAATACAACACTAATATGGTAGAATCAGTCTACATGGGCAATATATGGGCGCAAACCTCAAAATTACTGTACTGAAGGAAAACATTTTTTTGGGGGGGGGGACAAGACAGAGCACTGAGATTCTTTAAGTGATACTATACAAGAACACTAGTTCAGACCAATAGTCCATCTAGTCCAGTATCCTGTTTTGCGCAGCAGCCAACTGGTTCTCCTGAATGGCTAACAGGGCAGACAGGCTACGGCCTCCCCCTGGTACTACCTCATAGCACTGGCATTCAGGGCTACTGCTTCTGAATGTGGAGATGTCTTTTAGTGACCATGGTGAATAGACACTGATGGACTTAACCATCTAATCGCCTTTTAATGCTATATGTGGTCATGGCCCTCATTACTTCCACTGGCAATGTATTCCACAGTAATGACTGTTTATCAGTATACGAAGGCGTAATGGTTAGTTCCTTTTATATTTGTCATCTCTATTTGTCATTTGTTGTATTCGTCATCTCTAGATTTTATGCTTTGTGAACTTGTTTCTTTTAAATCATACTTCACATTTTCATCATACTTCACATTTTCATCATACTTCACGTTATGTACTCAAATTCCTACCAAATCCTCAATCCACTTCACACATCTGATGAAGCAGGCTCTTGCTGACAAAGGCCAACATCATAAAGAGAGAATCTTTCTGGTATGACAGGCCAGTCTTAAGGAAACCCATTCTGAATGTTATAAGATGGTATGTGATTGTATATTCTTCAGCAGCTCTGTAACAAGCACATCAAAGCTACAATTCAGAGAAGCGATGTGTAAGCAAGGGAGTTCTGTGCAAGCAGCCAAAGCTTTGCATCATTTTGGTAGCGCATTGGCCACTATCCAGTCTAAAAGTCAGCTTGTCTTTTTGACAGTAGAAACTGGTGGGGCCCAGCATCAAAATTCTCAGTGCACATGTAATTCTGTCCCCCATGAATATATTTCTAGTTTCATTTGTTGGCATAATTAGGAAACACTGGTGGTCACATACACGTACACATAATAATTAGGAAACACTGGTGGTCACATACACAGTTCATAACTCCAGCCAGTTCAACGTATTATTAAAGACTAGATAGTGACACTTCCTTCACACAGGCGGTGGGGGGGGGGGGTGAGCTTTTT